CGGAAGAGTGGAGGTGCCGGGGCACAACCGGCCCCGGCAGGGACGGGGGCTGCCTTGCCAGCGGCATCGGAGCGCTTTGGGGAGTGTCGTAAAATGTTCCCTGCAGCTTCGGCTGTCCCAGAGATATGTCTGGAGAGGGATTTTCATATTGTGTGAAGGACGGACCAGGAAAAGACCAAGAAAAAGAACGTAAATCTTCAGATGCTGATAATCTGGAAAATGTATAAATCCCATTGGTGGCTGTAGGATAAATATTCAGGAAATGAAACTGGGTACTTCTGCCTCATCATTTTTTGTACATATCCCACACATACAGGCGGATTTACCCTCCTGTGGACAGCCAGTCGTGTGGGCGGCACTGCGGGAAGATGTATGGGAGGCAGGGTCAGCGACCTCCACGTGCTGCGTGCCCCCGGCTGCAGGAGGCTGAGTGCTGTCCCTCCAAGGACTGCACTTTTGGCTCTCTCCTGCCATTGCCTTCCATCCCTAACTGCTCTCCCGGGTTTGTTCAGGACCCTCTTTTCAGCATCCCTGCAATCACAGACATTTTTTGCTGATTCCCTGCTAGGACGCCTGCTATGAAAATAACACTTTGTCACAGTTGCTGGTTTACTGGGGGAGCGGGTGTAAAGCTATGGGAAGGGGCCCTCTAGCACTCTGTCCGCTTTAAAAGTCTTGCTTTCAGTTTGGGAAGGAACTTGAACTAAAACCACCGAAAAGCTATCCAGAAAACACTGACTGTACACTAAGTTTTGTGATTGTTCCCACATCCCTCATAATTCTCAACCACAGCTCTGTACTAGAGGCTAGATCCACATGGTGGGCATTTTTCCTCTTGCTAGCAGTGGGATAGCATATGCAAGCTTCCCTTTCAAGTTCAAAATGAAAGTATTGACAAACAGTAAGAAAGGAATGTGAGTTTTGAGGTTGTATCTTCCCACAAAACAAGAAAGCTGTCTAAATCCAAGGCTTTGCACAATAGTTTTATTCTCACAAATTTGTTTATATTGCTTTCCTTTCCTCTCCTCCACACAGGAAATAAGCTCTCTCACACTTTCATACGCTTGTCATGCTATCTGTGCAGAAACATCTCAGACTCTTTGTACTCAGCACTTCATTTCTCAGCCATGTCTTTTCAAGAACTGGCAGCCCGCAGGATAACTCTAAAAATAATTTATTTCATATTGCAGCAATCCTGTCTCCTGGAGCTGTCTTGAACCTCTCCTGCTTTCTTGTGGTGCCACACTGTGACAGTGATCTTGTTCCTGTCTTCTCACAGGTGTTTGGTTTGCTTGCAGGGCAGCGGGAGCTACTCTGCGGTTTGCAGCGTGGGTGAGCAGATGGGGTGCCTGTGTGCAGCAAAACAGCCCGTGGAATTTCTGAACAGACCCCTGGCTCCTGTGGTCAATTTTGATTTGCAGGGAACTGAAGTAAGGTCATCATTCTGGCCTTTTATTTCTGTGTTCCTGTTCTTCTAGTGTTGTTATTTTTAAATAACAATTGTTCTGGTTTTACTATTTAAATAACAAATGCAAGTGTTTTGCAAAGTTTGTCTTACCGAAGAGGGAGCTTCCCCTTTGTAATCTGCTTTTCAAAACGTGCCAAGTCATTCCCTGGACAAGTTTCTGTTTCAGTTTCTATTTGCTTTTCTGATGCTGGGTTTCCATAAAACAAGAGTGTTTCAGTTTTCAAAGTAATTTCTGTTGCTTACTTTTTTTGTTTTTTCTCCCTACTTAAAGCTGAGAAAAGATTTATTTTACACTGCTCATGACACAGCCTTGTCGTTTGGGAGAAAGAGGGGGGTCAGGGCAGGTGTACAAAGTACAGAGCATAGAGTAAAGATACCAGAACTGTATTTCAGCAAGCAGCTAAGGCGCTGGCAGTCATCTTGCTTATCAGCATGAGACTCTGCATGGTCTTTCCTTCTGAGAACGAAAGGTGAGAGCGAAAGGTGGAACGGTGCTAATATAACCTTCTTGGTATGATTTGTGTGTGCAGCCCTAGCTTGAAACTGAGGCCAGAACCAGGAGGCAATGGTAAGCTGGGTGTGTTACCGTGGGTTGGCAGAACTAAATCACTTTTGGTCTCTGGTTCAGGTACTTTAAGCTTGATCCGATTGCTCTACGCTGCGCTGCTAACTGCAGTGTAGGCACATATGCACTCCTTTGGAAAACCAACTGCACAATATAATCAATCCTCTCATTTGATGCACAGTGTTCCAGCTAAGAAAAAAATTATGATCTATCTAACCACTAGAGTTAATGGCAGGCTGAGTTCAGCTTTGCAGATGTCTCCTAAGGAGAATATGACTCATTGCTCAGGGACTTTTTTTTTTAACCATCCTCATTATACTGAGGTTGGGGAATTCCGGTGTGATGAAAGGAAATTTTCTCATTCTATTTCACTGCCACAAATTTATGAGGTTTGGTGCCTTAATTTTAGGATCTGCCTAGTTCAGATCAGTTGTACAAACTGACCCACTGAAACCCTGAGAGATGGACAACCTTAGTTTCTGGTGGCCAGATGCCTCGCTCTGAGAGATAAAGCCAGAAGCCAAGAGAACCTAAGGTTCAAGTCAAGCGCCTGCCAGCATACCGTTAAGTAACATTTATCTCTTCCTGGGCGGGACATGGTACAGGGAGCAGCCTGTCTACCAGGGCTTGTGAGAGCATGGAGCTTTCCTTCCTTCCTGTCTTGGCTGTGCTTCTGCACAACGGCAACCCAGGAAAGATGGCACAGCCTACACCACTGCTGTCCTGCTTTTCTGAAAGGCAGATGTTTTATTCTCCTGTATTATGTGGAGCTTGGCCAAACCATGGCAATGAGCAACACACCGTCACAGCATGTCACATCTGTACGCAGATAGCACAGACAAGTCATTTATGCAATGCTATGCCTTAATCCGTCCGTAAGTGCACAAGTCTGGTGCATGGGTATCAAACCATGCAGCTACAGCAGCCTGAAGGTTCTCCTTTGAAAAGCAGCACAGCGTGGGGATTTTGGCAGTATAGCAGTGGCAAGCTGATTGATTCACCACTTCGAAAATGCAGAAAGGTTAGAAACAAGAGGCTCCAATGTGGGGTGGAAGGTTTCTCTGAGCATTTAGCACCTATATGGTGCTTGAGACCTGGGGAAGAGCTGTACAACCTACATCAGGTTTGGGCTTGGCAACAAAACATTCTCTGTGGCCTTCAGACCTTCCACGGGTCAATCCTATGGAAGGCTTAAAGTTTTGGAAGCTAATCTAAGTCCTGCCTTTTCTTTCAGGCTCCTGCTTCATGTCATACACAGCTTTCTCACCATTTTCAAGGGCCACACACTGCCCTCCCAGGCACCTCACTTCTAGCAGCATGACCTTTTGGAGCAGCCCCACGGGGCTGTGGGTGCCTGGTATTGATGGCCAGCACCTGGCACCCTGCTGCCAGACCTGCCCTGCCCTGTCCACACCCCCAGGACCAGGTGGCAGCAATTGGACCCTACCCCACGTGTTGGCACACTCCAGCTGGCAGCTGGGAATAAGCCCAGGCAGGTCTTCTCATGTTCTGGCTGACTCTTGAGGCTGGCTGGAGATTCTCTCTAGGGAACTGATGGCAGAGCCAAAGAAGAAAGTCATCCTGTTTACTGTGAGACCTGGAAAAATCAAGCCTTTCCATGGAGGTCTTCTCTTCTGTTGAATGGTTTTCTGAGACTTTGCATAAATGGGTGTGTGAGCGGGAAAGGCCTCACTGCAAAGCAGCCCAGCACTACTGGTTCTCTCAATTTAGAAGTCAAGTGCTCTGCACTCTGTGATGGAAGAAAGGTAAGTTGTTGGGTGTTTTTCTTCAGGAGAGGGATCTCCCTTTTTGTCATTTATTGACCTAAGTAAAAGAAAACCTAAAAATCACATCTATAGGTTGCATGATAAGAAGGAAAGAGAGAAGTCATGCACTACATGGATTTATTATTTTTTTTAATGACAATGCTGTTTTCATTGTATCAGTTCCTGCATTAGAAAAGCTGGTGTTGCATGCTTAAGTATGGAGACTTCATAGCTTCTGCAGGCTGCACTCCAAAAAACATGGTTCTGCTGTGCTTCTTCAGCTTCTGCTTCTTTGAAGGGTTTTAACATTAGAAAAGGCTTGCAGTCATTGCAGAGAACAAGGGAAATACTAATTTTTATTTAGCACTGGGAGCTTTTGCATAGAAAACCTGCACATATATGCACACCTATAAATAAACACACACATATACAAAACTGTATATACACACACAAGTGCATTTATACAAAGGAGAAATCCCACTTACAACAGAGTAAAGTTGAATTAAACAGCAACACCTATATTAAAAACTAATTACATGTATATTATATATTTTTTTTTCAAGTACTTTTCCCGGTACACTTCACAGACTGTTAACACCAGAGTTTTCACTTTGAAAAATGAAACATCCCACAATTTTAATGTAAGCAAAACATTACATTGGTCAAACCTTTTCTTCAAATAACGACTATTTTTTCTTCCTTCTTGTAGTGAAGAAAAGATACAGCTACAAAAATCATAATTATGCCTTGTTCATACAACTTCCTTGAATCAAGCTGCCCTTGAAAATGGCATTTAAAAGCTTTGTTACTTGTATTATTAGAATAATACTAATTCAGTCAGAAATAATTTTCAAATGACTCTGTACTATGTCTCTTCCAAACTACCAGAATAGGTTTTACTTAGCTCAGAACTATTGTCGTAAGAGTTTCTACTTTCCTGAGTGCAGGTTTTGCTTTGCTCAGTGTCATCAGACTGTGCCCCTTCCTGACAGCTGGAAATAGCTGACTTCAGTTTTTCCTCAATTTTATCAGCTGCAGTGCACAGTTTAAACTCTCTCAGGCTGCTTATTAGGGTTCCATAGGCTCCTTTTATCCCATGTCTTTGGTACCAGACTTGAAACAGCTTAATCTTCTGTTCAGATGTATCAGTAAAATAATCCCGAACAGTTTGATCTATGACAGGTTCTGGTACTTTGTGATTACGAACAAATGTCTTGACTTGTTGGAGTGTCATCTCCTCCACAATACCAGCAACATGGCTGCTCAGGTCAACATCTAGAAGCAGAAAAGAAAATTAATGCTCTTGGCACTTACTGGTTTTTGGTACCTGCGCTCAGAGTTGATACTTTCCCTATCCAAAACAGATTAAGTTTCAGGTATTTGTGACTCACTATGTTTTATATATGATTTTTTGCAGTATATAGTGGGCCTGCTTTTACATCTTCCTACCAAATGCTTGGCAATTCAAATATTTATGGTTGCATCCATATTGCTTTCTACCACTTGAAATAGAATCTCTGTTCCCTCTCTAACTTATTCTGTCCTTCTCTATCATTAAAGTCTGGTCATACCTCATGTACCTGTTTTGCTCAAAATAGTGCTGGGAAAGGTCCTGGAACAGGACCGGTCTTTTGTTGTGATACAGCCTTGGAGCTTATGTTCTCTTCCTACTGTGGATTTGCCCTTGAACATAAGGGAGACCCGTGTTATCCATGATTCTAGAAATCCAGCCTGCTGCCTCCTAGTGTCTGTGCCACATGCAGAACAGAAGTTCACCTGTTGTCAATTAGTAATTGCTTCTTATACAACAGAAATGCTTCCTGAGGCAGAACTTTCATGCTATCACTAAATGCCTTAATAAGCACAATATTTCTTTATTAAGTGTTCACTGTTGTGCTAGAATGACAGCATTAGGCAGCCACAAAGTCTACACAAAAATACTCTTTTTTAGTGTAGGATTTGCTTTGTTGTTTGTTTTTTTCTTCTACTGAATTTTGAGAAATTACTTGTCTCTTACCTGTATATATGAGAGGTACGTTCTCCTGAAGAGAGAAGCAAGAGAGAAATGAGTAGAAACAAGTTTTGTAAAACACCAACCATGTATAAGAGGATAAACACATTTCATGACACTGAAGAAATAATACAGGATTTCTCTCACTTCTCCCAAAAGAATCCTCACGGTGAAATTTACTTCATTAATGTCATAGAGGAGAGGCATGCACGTGCCTGGGGAGTCCCAGTGTAATTTAAATGGAACAAAGTTCCTTGCATGAAACTGAGGGTTTTTTTAATGATCTAAGCAACAATACTTACATAAGAAACCTCTGGTTTTGGGACTACTTCACCTAGGTTCTCCTTGCTAGTAAGACCCTTCTGTCTTCTCTTGTCTGAAACAAAAAAGCATTTTTTAAAGTTCAGGACAGAACATATCTCTCCTCTGGACTCCCAAGAATATAATACATCCGAGTAAGCAGCTGAGTATCTTATTCAGAGTATGATAGGAATAAGGAATAGGGAATCACTTACACCAGAATATTGGTCCAGTTAGTGCCAATAGTACTAACATCAAACTAATCAAAGCAATGGCCCACCATGGCAGTCCTGTTTCTGTTGGAACATTGGAAACATGACATGAAAGTTAAGTCAAGAAATGCAAGACAGCAACGCACTCTAAATTTTAAACAAGATTGAATCAGATTATAAAAGCCTTTCTGTTGTCTCCTAATGGTAGAATCTACCTCTTTGCTAAAGTCTTACATATCACGAGTCGCCCTTAAAAAGGAGTAATGGCTTCTACATCTGCGCAGCGATCAAGGGAAAAGAGCCACTGTGCTCTGCAGGTCAGTACAGGGCCCAATAGCTCCCAGGAATCACTATGGGCCATTCTGTAGAACAATACAGTTGCAATAGCCTCTCAAAACACAGCAGATGCTAGACCATGCTAGGTTTTAAAATGGTACCTTTCATTCTGCACACAGTGTCTGAAGTTGAAGTGCATTGTTTTTCAATTACGCCATTTTCACATCTGCAGAAAACATGAACAAAAAATATTATGGGATTTGTTTCTCTCTTTATAAACTCTGTCAACAGAGCAAATAAAAATCTTCTAACACTTTTTATACGCTAAATATTTCATATATCAAGATGTTGGGAGTCTGGAATTTAATAGGTACGAAAATGGTATGGAAAGGTATGGGAGTAGAAAAAGGTGTGGAAATTATTTTCTAGATGTAACAGATCACACAAAGACAACAGGAAAGCTCAGATACTTCATTACCTTTTTTTTTAAAACTATATACCGACTTGGTGGATGTATGCAAGTTTTTCTGCATGCCTTTGGAAAGCCTGCATGGGTGCAAGTTAAGTTGACTGAGCTCAACAAGTTACGTGCAAAGGAAAACTAGCATGTTTTCCCTCACATTATATATTATCTTAGCCTCTGTCTTGAAACTGGCTGGAAAAGTGTAGTAACATACGATATTAACAATTTCATATTTAACGATGAAGGCACAAACTTACATGGCACATGGCTCACAGTGCCTACATGGTACAGAAGAATTGCAAAAATGGTTCTTTGCACAGGTGCATTCCGTGTTCTGTGTTGGGGTACAGTTCTTTGCAACCTCCAAACCTAAAATACATTTCTTAAAGTTTGTTAGTTTGAAAAAGTAGGCCTTAAAAGCAGGTTTCTGCTCACAAGCTCTTGTCCTCAGACTTGCGCGCTTTTAGCTCTACCACTGCTGGCACGGGTGAGGCTGAACTGTGAGAACACCACGGGTTTTGTGAGGAGCCCCGCTGCCCGAGGCTGGGAATACGGAGCCGGCGAGGGGACCTCTGCTGGCCAAGAGCTCAGAACCTGATCACGCGGCGAAGTACTTGCCAGGAGAGGACTTGTGTGGCACGGCCAAATTTCGTCAGCTGCTTTTTCCCATTCAGAAATGTAAAGTCAGAAGGAAACTTGGAAGATCACGTAACCCACCTCCCTGCTTGATAGCAGAGACAAGTTCTTTACTCTCCTGACAGACAAGAAGTTTATCTTTTCTCGAGGACCTCCAGGAGTGAGGCATTCCACTCCCTTTTTTAGCTAACACATTCCCTGCTTAAGTATCAAGTGAATTAATTTTCTCCTATCCCCAGTGTATATGATGAAGCTATCTCCATCTACGAAAAATTATTTCTGCATTAAAAATTACTTTAAGTATCTACCTACTATGAGAGCTATTTTCACAGGCATATAGGAATAGAAGTGAATTTTTGAGTTACCACCTTCAGTGCCCTGCTGTAATGGGAAAACATGTTATCTTTCAAAATTTGATTAAGCTATTCTGTGAAAGTAGTGCTGAAACCATTCATGAAAATATCAAACATGAATGATCATATGAATGGTTCTCATGGAACTTCAGTGTTAATTTTCCTCCTGCCTAATGTTTTCTACTGAATTCTCTTCAGCTACGTTATTGTTCATGGGATAATGTGACTAGTCATTCCATTACCCTTTCTTTCCCCTTCGTTTTAACTAATAGCTTCCTGTACAAAATGCTGAGGTTTTTTGCTGTACTCAACTTGACTACCCATCCAAAGCAAAAATGCTTATTATAGTAGTTAATGAGAGGAAAAATTTCTATGCATATGGAGGTGTTACAGGAAGGGGAAAGCAATAAAGATTGATATTCCAGCAGGTGATCAGAGTACAACAAAACTGGAGTTAAGAACTGTTTCTCTGCTCACCAAACTCGATTTTGAATATGAGGAATGCAGAACTATCACTCCCTTAATCCAGGTACACTACAACTACAGGACACCTGGTGGAACTGGTAGGAAATCAGTTTAATGGATTTAAAAAAAAAAATTTAAAAAAAATTCTATGATGGGTATTTATGCAACAGGTAGTAAATTTCTGGAACCTGGTGTCCCCTAGCAGGTTCATGCACAAAAGGGTCATAAATGGATACTAAAATGACTAGGTAGGGATAGACCTTCTAACATCTTTTCCCACAGCTGGATACTGGTAGATTTTTCCAGGGAACTGACCACAGAAAGTAGATGGGTTTCTTTGCGTTTTCTCTAAATAGCACCTTTTGCCTCCACTGTTGAATGCAGAATACTGGGGTAGGTAGACCACTGGTCTGACCCAGTAGGGCATGCCTCGTAGTCTCGTGATTTGATCCTATAACCCACACAGCATCTCGAATGTATAAAAGACATCACTCTACCAGATCCAGCAATTTAAAATAATATTGTTAATTACATGAAAGACTACAAAAGAAACCATTGGGAATTCTCCCATCCCTGCTTCCTACAACACCCCTCTCTAAAACAGAGGGCAAAGAAGAGAGTGAGCTTTTCTTCCTTGACCCTAACCAGTTGGTATAGGGTCTGCTTTGCACACACTGCTTTGGCTGAGCAAAGGCAAATAATAGACTGACAGAGCTTGTTGTTCTTCCTACTTTGTGCCTGTCAAAAGGGAACTGGGGGATAAATTTATGACTTTGTCAAAAATTCCTTCATGTACTACCACCAAAATGTTTTACTCTGCATGCTACCCGCTATTTAGGGATTGTGGGGACTTTTCAGTCAAGTCCTGTATCAAAAAAAGTCATTGCTAGAGTTGCTGTTTCTACAGACATACCAAATACATGGTCACATGAGTAGCATCTCAAACACTTGTCCAAATCATTGACATGATCTATGTAGTCCTTCCCATTTTCACATGGAACACAGTGTTTGCTGATATCTGTTGGGCAGTCAGTATTTTTAAAAAAACCTGTAGAGACAGAAGAACAAGAATTAAGATTTGCAATACCTTTGGACAGAAGCCATCAGCTCTAAGACCTATGTCGGGCTTTCTTTTTAATCCCTAATGCTCTTTGATTCACAAATATGGACAGAATCTATATTCTTTATGCATACATATATGCTTTTCAGGAATGTAGTATACATAAGGTCTGATTATCCCCCCTCTTTCTCCAATTTAAGACTGAAGGAGAACACACCAAACAAAACTGTATACACAAAATTGGAAAACCCATGAATATATGGAGTCTTGTAGGCAAAAGCTTGTGCTTGCGCTTTTTTTAACCTCTTTCAAAGATGCCTATGTAATTCTTAGTTCTTTTGTGATGAGCATGTTATGTGAGAACTACTATCTGTAATGAAAAGTTATTGCTGCACTTGAGCTCAAGAAATACTTTTGAAGTGTCTGATGTCCTGTAACAGAGAAAGATACAGCTAGAATGAAGCATTGCATCCAGGAAAAAAGCAGCATGCCACTTAGACATCCCAGCAGAGAGCAATTTTACATGTGGTTTCCACTCCTAATGACTTTTCAACACAGTCTTATAATGATACTCACCACGTTCACATTTCTTGCAACACTTAACACCTAACTTGTATTCATCCACGTTACACTTATTTTCCCTCTTAGCAATGATCCTCCTTTTAATTAATTTATTGTACGCTATGTGCGTTAGAGCTTCAGTATCATTTTTGCACTGTGTTTCAATAATCAAGACAACCACCTAGGAGAAAAGAAACAGCAAGTTATATGAAAATCTGTCAAGGACTGTAGGTATGTTTTACAACCAGCACACAGTTCCATCAGTACTGTTACTCTATTGCTAAACATATTGATATTCACCCCCTTACTAAAGCTGTTCATTACTTCATAAGAGTTAATGGACAATGAGGATGCATATTAGTTATAACGCTATCAATCCTACGACTACAAGTACTGACCGCTTGAACATTAATGCTTGAGAACGGGCCCATATGTCTGAGTTGTAACAGATGACCTCATATGCCTAATTATAGTGTAAGGGAATTGCCATTATTTTCTTGAAGAGCTTTCTCTGCCTCAGATCACTGTGCCTAAATCTGCCCTTTCTTAGCCAGTAATAATGATCTTCCGTAGAGAACCTCCTTAATTCAAATGATATCTTAACTTCTTGCCACGCTGCTGTTGCCTGCAAACTGAACAATGTTAATGCATCTCTGAAGAATAAAAAAATTGAATGTTTTAATCTCAGACAAAAATAACTGATTTCTAAAATGATCTTGTTCTGACTTTGTTTTCCAATTTGATTGTTTTTCTCCTTAGTAGATGATGCGTACAGATTCCTGAAAAGAAAGTTATCACTCTCCTTTCAAATTAATTTATACCCTGGTCCATTTCCTTGAAAGCACTGTCAAGTTAATTTGCACAGTGCTTGTTTTTTAAACTTTTTTCCCCTGCTACTAGTAACTTTAGCTGTCACTGTCCTGCCTCTTTTCATGATAATGAAAACTGTGGACCAGAGGCCAAACCATTCCTTTTTTCTGTTTTGGGAGTAAGGCAGGAAAATGAGAAAGATAGATCTGCTATAGTTTGCCTTCCTCTTGGCAATGGTTTGTGTGGAATTCTGTATATACTTTGCATGCAGTAAGTATGAGATGTGTATGTAATAGAGCTATGTAATGCTTGTCGGCTGGAGAACGAGATTCCTTCCTAGAAACATTATTATGCAGGACAGTTTGCCTTTACTTAATCCAGTTTCTGCTGATAGTTTGGAGTGATTTGAACATTTTCACGATTTATTTTACTTGTGTGTTACTATCTGTGTGGACCTGTAACAGAAAAAATTAAGACAGTCCTTGTCTTGAAGAGTTTGAAGTCTTAAGCTCTGCATTCACTGTTCTTGCTCCTGTTTAATTGAAAAAATACCGTTTTGTATTTTACAAAAGACTCTGGGATATGCACTGTGAGGGATACTGAGGAAGGGGGGGGAAATGATGCCTGGGAAGAAATGGAGCAATGCTATTGAGCTCGGCAAAATGAAAGAACAGGCCAAGTTGTGAAGGAGAGGCACTGCAGGGTACTTTTTTCAGAAAGGAGATTAGTGGGGAACGAGGTGCAATACAAAGAAACTGCCAAATCCCCGTACCGGTGGTGCACTGCGTGGACTGAAAGTCCTGCCGATGACAGATTCACTCACATTTAAACTGGTATGCAAACCACCTTCACTAGAATAATTTCTTTTTAATTTTGTCTTGGATATTTGAAAGAGGTTAATTCTGAATGGTCGGTTATTTTTGAACGCTTTTGAATTGAAGCTTAATACAAATTTGACTGTTTCTGTTAACGCTCACAAGGGATGTACATATTTAAGGAATTCTCCAATAATTTGAGGACTGATTATTTTTACTGTTACACTGTTCTTCCTGTCAGAGGGTGATATTTAATGGCTGATTAATTCAGTCTTCGTGATTTTGTGTGAAATTGTTTGGATGCTGATTGTAACTTTAGTTAGATGCAGAAAACTCATTTAATTATCTTAAATATTAACTTACTGAAAAATGGCTTCGGATTTCAAACTGCGCTCTCAAGTGAAGGAAGTGTTATTTGTGGCTAATTAACTGAGGTAACCAATATGACCACTGTCTGCTGACTTCTACAAGTAACCGCTTCTTTTGATCTTCTAGTCTATTTAGAGATGGGAAGGTGAAAAGCATTTTTCTTTCCTTAGCAGGCATCTGTTTTAAAATTCAGATAACATTAGTTACTAGACTGAAATTAAGAAAGCCTTTCTTTGCACCTGGAGGAGAAGCTTCAACTGCTAAAAAAGCAGTTTAGCACTTGAGAAACTGTGGGTATGGGTGCTCAGCCCATCACTTCCCCTGTTCAGTGCTCTGACTCTCTTCCTTTGCTGCCAAAGCTTTGAGGGTGCTCTTCTCCGAATCCCAGTGTAATGATGTTAAAAGGCTAAAGTTAATCTAAGGCCTTGACAGAAGCTGTCAAATGGATGTGCCAAATTAGTGTGACTCGTTTTTCCTTTTGCCGGGGAGAACAGTCTTACAAAAAACTGGGCTAGAAAGTCCGACTGACTGCTTCTTGGTAATTATTTTTGAGAGGCATGCCTCCAGTCTGGTTTGGCTTTCCCTGAAGCAGGGTGAAGACCCACACCTCCATCGTGTTGGGGTGGGACGAGGGAGGGGGCGATCGCAGGACAGCACTGGGGGGACAAGTTTAGTCCCAGCTCTCCGAGCTGGACGACCATGACACACCAAGCGGTCTGCCTGCCGCGAGGCCGCGGCCAGCAGCAGGGTTCGGAGCGAGGTGGCCCTGAGGCGCGCGACGGATCTTTGGCTGCCCCGGGAAAGCCGGTGGCAGCCGAGGTCTTCCGGGCCTTGGAGACGGGTGGCGTGGCCGGGGTGCGTGGCGGGCCAACGCAAACGCATGAGGAAGTCGGAGGGGAAACGACTCCTCGTCTGCCCCC